TCCCAGTACCAAAGGAACAGAGAGTGGGGGGAAATTTATTCAAAGGGAGCACAGACCAAAATAGAAACATGACAGAAGTTCTAATCTCTCCAGATTTAAATGCAGTTGGATTTTTTTTTTAAAGTGCTGTTTGGTTTTCATTTATTATAATTGAATGTTCTACGTTTTGCTTGTGTAGATACACTGTGGATATGGGAGGAGTGGTGTTATCAATGCAGGGCTGCAGTCACACTTGTCAGACAGTCATTTTGGAACCTGCATGCTGCAAAGGATTCTGGGGTTCTACATGCTCAGGTATGAACCTTTAGTCTTTACAAATAAATGTTTTGCATTCTGTGCATTCAGTCATTGCTCATCCTAAAATGTCTAACTCTCTTTCCCTTCACATGGTGAATTAGGGTTATTTTTGCTTTCTTCCCTTATGAGGTTTAACATTATATCCACGAAAACCCACAAAGTGCAGGGAAAATGAAGACTATTTCAGAGGTTATGATGTCCAGCTACTACAAGCTAAAGGCAAAAAAACAAACAAAAAAACAACCACATGGATCTCAAATTCACCTCATCCCCCTCTTCCCTGAAGAAGGAACAACATGAATATGTTTTGCAGTGGATAAGAGCATTCTTTTTGCTGCCCAAACAATTACATTTATATATACTACACATTTAAATGACAGAATATATAGACAATGTGCCAGATCATATGAGAGTATGCAAACACTGTATCTACTCATATGATGGTACTAACTAAATGAAGGAATGAAGGACCCGTGCATACTAAATCAGTCAATCCAGCTTTCAGTCGTATAATTTATTTAGACTGATAAAAGTAAACTTCTTCTTGGCTTCCCAAATTTACGGCAGTTACACATTCCTTGTCTCTATATTTAAGAATGGAATACGAATCCATTCAGCTAATGAAATATACCACATACAACCTACGGATTCTTGCGGCAGGTATGCCAGGTGTGTCCTTACAGATACGGCCGCTGTGCTCATTCAGGTTAATGATAGGCTGATAGTGGCCGCATCTGTCCATGGCTGTCTCCATGTAATTGCACAATTTCTTTGCATCCCGGAACAAACATCTCTACCCACAGGTAAACATTGATATGATTGGTATGATTACATGCGGACAGCCACTGACATGCAACCACTGTCAGCCTGTCATTAAGTTGAATGGGCATAGTGGCTGCATCTGTAGAGACCCACCTGGTATTCCTGCCATTAGACTCTGTAGGATCTTGCCGCAGGAATCCCCAGACGCCCATGTGCATGTAGCCTAAGTTGTGTGCTTGTTTTTCTGTTTGTTTTGCTATGCTATTTTCTGCTATGAAATATTTATGTTAATTGAATTTCATGTTTGCAGCACAGCAGCCAGTCAGATGTTGATGTGAACCTTAGCTTTACCCATACAGTGTAAAGCAACAGGTTCACTTTAACGTATCCCTCCCCAGCAGCACATACCTCCCTCCCTCTCCCCCTGTAATGCTTCATTTAGCCCTGAAGGCAAAGGAAAGTTGTGTGTAAGCTACAGGTTTTCAGACTCCAAAGATATGGACCCCATGTGTGACGTTGCTGACTGACTGTCACATATTGGAAGTATCAGATATTTCTTTCAGAAATATAAGTGTATGGGATGGGGGTGAGGCCGGTATTAAAGCAAACCTGTTACTTTCTACTGAAATGGCTTACGCACATGTTATCTTTAGGCCCCCTTTCACACCATATTGTGGTATATTGCATTAATGCAGTTTAAATAGGCTGCTGCAGGACTGTCAGACCCTACCGTTTATCTCTTGGCTGCACTGCAAATGTTCAGTATTGCCTGCTCTGGGAGCTGGCCCAGTCTTAGGGCCCATTTACACCAGTCCTATCTGCGGCTGTGTGTTAAACTTATGTGGTTTAATGCACATTGCGTTAGGACAGCCCATGCCTTCAAATGGGCTGCCTAAACCGTCACAACGGATCAAAAATAATGCATGTATTTTTGCCGCACTCTGCCACGCACATTAAGGAGTTGATGGAAATTGTACTGCGACACGAATGCACCGCGAAGGTGTGTTGGGGTGCCATTTAAAATAAATAGCACTGCATCACATCAACACATGTAACACGCACTACCATGCATTGCAGTGACACATGTGAGTTACCCCAATGTAGAGTAGCAGCTGTCCACCAATGTTATCAGTCTGCTCTCTACCTTTGTCAGGAAGCTCCCAGTGTTAGATGGACAGCACTGTACAAAGCAGTAGATTCCAGACTGAATTGCTTTGCTGCCTCTCCCTCTCCCATGCCGAACAAGTAATTGACTGATATCAACAGTGACTAAAATAATTCTCCAAGCTGCATGTAAAAATGCATCCATAGGTGAATAAATCATGTTCTTTTTATCTGCCTGGAGTACAGCTTTAAATGTTTATTGCATACATAGCAGTAGATCTGTGAGATTTATTGGAATGTATTCTGACTCCGATCGTTGTGATAGCGAAATATATCCCTTGCTGAGACCTCTATGCCTGGCCTGTATAAGCAGATATACTCACTGCGGACAATCCTCGTCAGATAGCTGAACTCGTCAATACCGATTCATTCAAAAGAGGTGTTTATTCTTTAACATCAGGTTACAGCAGATGATAGGAACAGCAGTTGAACGGTTATAGTATTGTGCGGTCAGAAAATGATGCCTTTCCTACGTACTGTGCAGATTACATGTGTGTCCTTGTTACATGTGGCTTTCAACTGTGGCCATGACACAGGAAGTACTGCACACAGGAAGAAGGAAGGGGCGTACACTAGGGGGAAATACATCGTCACATGAGGAATAATTACAGAAAACATGTTTGTTACAACAAAAGGCCACTAGATGGCAGCATAGGATAACACATGAATTTAGCTATGAGAAAATAGTTAGGCAAATCACACTATATAAATTCTAACCTATATAACAATGCTAATATTAACTGAGGCTATGCATCTCATATTCTATGTCCCTATTGGGGCGGCACAGAATGCCTTTTGGAAAAGTTCAAAGAATACAGGCAGCCGATGTTTTATGTTTAAGATGGGATCATTTGTATTACTGGTTTGGCAGTGGACCAGGGTTGGATACATTTGGCTAACCTCCACAAATTTGACAATAAAGTCACAGAAATTATTGTTTTAAGAAGAATTCCAAGGTATGCATCACAATGTGTAACTGCCATTAGAACAAGGTAGACTCATGCTTTACCCTTGCATTCTCATATACTGTAAGTGTGCATAACTGTTATGGTGGCCGATTCTCCATTGATCTGATGGCTCAGTGTGACAACTAGATCATAAGCATGCAGCGATTTCCTAATGGCTTATAAAAAGGCAAGAGTCTGAAGTATGTATTATCATGCTCAGGGCTTGTTCACACCAAATGCAGACCAGATCTGCATGAGTTTCTGCGCACGCAGTGCATTGGGTTGTGCCGCGTTTTTTGCCACGCTTTTTGATGCGTTCCAGGCCGTTTTTGGTTTAAAAAAAAATATATCTATTTTTAGTTTAGAATGGGCTTTTAGTGCGTTCCAGGGCGTTTGCATGCGCTTTTGATGCGTTTGCATGCGTTCCCGAGCTTTCTAGAGCAGGTAAAATAGGGCTTGCTGCAGTTTTTTTACATGAACTAGAGCCCAAAATGTGAACTAGAGCCCAAAATGTGAACTAGAGCCCAAAATACCATTGGAATACATTGGACGCAGTTTTGATCCGGTCTGTAACTGCTCGGCTCTGCTCCTGGAACGCGCTTGGTGTAAACCAGGCCTAAGAGACTTTCCCACTTGCTGAGAAAAAAAAGATGGAAGGAAATACTTAACGGCGTGTGCAAAGGGAAGGAAGTCTCTGGCCCATAAAATAAGTCTTGATAGCAGGTTAAGTGGGATACAAAAAAACAAAACTGTGTATTTACTAAGCCACAGTGGAGCTGAGAAAGTGTGAGCTAAGTAAAGTGCAGCAAAAATGCACTGCTTCCTTAATTTTTTGCTGGATTAAAGAGGAATTCCAGGCAAAAATGCCCACATCTTTAAGGCCTTGTTCACACCAAATGCAGAGCAGATCTGCATGAGTTTCTGCACACGCAGTGCAGTGGGTCGTGCCGCGTTTTTGATGCGTTCCGGGCCGTTTATTTAGTTTAAAATGGGCTTTCAGTGTGTTCCATGGCGTTTGCATGCATTTTTGATGCGTTCCAGAGCAGGTAAAATAGGACCTGCTGCAGTTTTTTTACCTGCTCTGGAACGGAACGCTGCGATGTGAACTGGAGCTAAAAATACAATTGGAATACATTGGACGCAGTTTTGATCCGGTCTGTAATTGCTCTGCTCTGCTCCTGGAACGCGCTTGGTGTGAACAAGGCCTTATGCACTTTAACACTCGAAAAAAAATCATAGTGTATTTTAAAGCAAACCTTTCCACATAATGATGTTAATAAAATACACCCCAGCCTATGCAAGTGTTGACTTACAGAAAGGTGCATCATGTGAACAATCGTGGCTGCCATGACAATTAGGAGAGGGACACATGAAAAGGAACAGAAAGTTGCTCTGTGGCACCATATAGTGCCAATATTAGGAGGAAGGGGTTTGCTTTTCATACAGTTTCTATGAGTACCTGAAGCTGTTTTTATATTAGTTTCCTTTAATGAAGAACTCCAAGCAACCAAAAAATGTAGCCTTTCAGTGCTGGGGTAGCCCCTTAAGTTAACTGTTAGGTGCTCATTTTGTCTAGGGGACTCAAACAGACATTATTAAAGTCAACTGTCAATCCTTATTTAACAGAATGTCCTGGAGGATCTACTCGCCCTTGCAGTGGTCACGGTGTCTGCATGGAAGGACTGAATGGCAATGGGACTTGTAAATGTAATGTAAGCATTTCTGTAATGTATCCTTATTTTATTATTTCCCAAATAAATTTTTATTGTGTTTAAGCATCGCCGTTAAAAAAAAAAAATCAACATTTTTCGTAAGCGGTAGCATGAACAATTTTTTTGTTGTTGAACGAATATTCGTCCGTAATGAAAATACGTACACGCTACCGCTAACGAAAATCTGGATTAGCCGAAGTGTCAGTCGAAGCGGGGCGAACGCAAATGCCAGCTTGGCAGAGCCAGCCGTGATAGCAGGCAGGTGCCGGCCAATAGGAAACAGTTGGGGGAGCAAGCTGTCACTACTAGCTCCGCCCAATTGTTTTTTTATTTTAAAAAATCTTTATTTTTTTATTTTACTATTAATTTACATTTTTTTTTTCCCAGCTGCATTCGGCTATTCACTCACTGCAAGTGAGCTGCCAGAGCTTCGGCTCAGCCGATCCTGATGTTGGATCGGCTGAGTCGAAGTCCTTCTGAAGAGAGGGAAGTCCCTGGCATTTAGAAGGGTCTCTTGAACTAAGACCCCTATTTAAAGATTTTCCATATACTCCTATTCTGATAACAACCACACAAAAAAAGGGATTTTCTTTCACTTTGAATGATAGCGGACACCAGGACAAATAGAGAGAGGGTGTCTCCCCCTAACAGAGACACAGACAGCAATAAAAACCTCTCCACTCTATCCAACATAAAAAAAGGTTTTGGCTTAGGTTGCACTTTAAATACTCTTCTGGGGTTCATCACTATAGTTTACTGTACTTTTCTAAAAGAGGAACTTCACCCACCAATTGAATGTCTCCCAAAACGGTAACGTAAGGCTCCATTCACACCTAGGCATATTGTCGCAGCTGGTTCAGCGCGATAAAAACGCTCCACCCAAGGAATCCCATTCATTTCCATGGCCCCCATTCACACCTATGAGTTTTGTCGCAAGCAGAAATATGCCTGATGCTCAAAATAGTACATGAGCTACTTTGGGGAAGATTTCAGCGCACTTTTAGATTGTAAGCCCTCATGACCGTCTTGATTGTATTGTGATTGTAATGTCTTCCTCATATTGTAAAGCGCTGTGCAAACTGTTGGCGCTATATAAATCCTGTATAATAATAATAATAATAATAAAAAATGTTGTCCCATAGACTCAATAAAAAATGCTTGCAAAACGCACATTGCAATTTTTGCACATTTTTGCACACGTTTTGCTTATTCACATGAATGTGCCAAAATCTGCTCACAAAAGACGTGCGTGAAACATGCATAATAGGTGTTGCTTAGATGTGAATGGAGCCTCAAGGCTGCCAGTGTACTAATTTCAGCTCTCAACTGAACTTTCAAGCCCTCAAAGTTCTGGTGTCATAGCTTATCACATGTGCAGCACCATGGCAACTGCAATCCAAATAGAGACTAAGATGGTGCCTTCCCTTGCTGTAAAGGATAGGAAGTTGTAGTTCCACTTTAGATTTTCCATCTACTGAAAATGCAATTTAGGGGAAAAGTATAAAGGGTTACTTTAAATGAATGAAGACATACACTATGTATGTTCCATATTTATTTGTAATTGTATTCTCATTATAATACTGATAACTACTTGCTCAACATTTTTCACAAAGTTGCTATAGATAAATAATATGATTTTTTTCATGGATTTATTCTTTGATTTACAGGAGCCATTCACTGGGTTTGCCTGCAATGAATGTGTAGATCAATTGTTATATGGAAGCGACTGTGATCAATGTAAGTTGGTAAGCTTTATATCACAAAAAGACGGCAAGTCATAAAAGAGAGATGCACTGCCTGGCCAAAAAAAAAAAGTCCACACACTCTAATATGTCATTGGGACCACCTTTAGCTTTACAGCACGCATTCACCGTGGCATCGGTTCAATAAGCTTATGCAATGTCACATTTATTTCCATCCAGAGTGGCATTAATGTTTCACCAAGATCTTGTAGTGATGATAGGGGAGTCAGACCACTGCGTAAACTCTTCTCCAGCACATGCCAAAGATTCTCAGTGCCTGTGGCATCAGGGAAGAAAAAAATCCATAAACCTGTCCTTTCAGTATATTCAGGTAGGCAGCTGACCTCATTTTTTGGGGACATAACGTTGCTGAACCTAAACCTATTAAGACTCTAACCAATTTGCTTAGCTAAATCCAGGTGGTGTCCTTTTTGGCCAGGCAGTGTACAAGCAAAGCACAGGTTTCCTTTATGTATGCAGGGAGAGGTTACACTAGGGTTGCCACCTGTCTAAGATTCACCCAGACAGTCCGGGTTTTGAATGCTGTGTCCGGGTTTCATGGCAGCACAAACCCGGACACAAGATGTAAGGCAGACAGGGGCAACCAAAATTAAGATAGGGGCTACTAGACATGTGCGATTCGTTTCGTTCCGAATCAAAAAATTCAGACGAATTTTCGGAAATTCGGATGTATCCGAATTCCGAATTACAGACATAACGAATGCAAACGAATCCGAATTTCCATTTCGGAAATTCGGGAGCGTTAGTACGAACGTTCGTTTCGTTTTCTGTTCTTATTCGTTTCTTATTTGTTTCGTTCGTTGGAGCAAAGTGACATTAGAGAAGGAGAAAAATATTTTTCCCCCTCAAATGTCACTTTTGCTGCAAACGAATGAACGAAACGAATAAGAAACGAATAAGAACAGAAAACGAAACGAACGTTCGTACTAACGCTACCGAATTTCGTCCGAATCCGAATTCCGAATTGACTTTCACACCCGAATCCTGAAAAACGAAATAACACAAATCCGAATTTAAAACGAAACGAAACTAAACAAATTTTTTGGCAGTGCACATGTCTAGGGGCTACTGACCTCCCACTGAAAATAGTCTAACTGTTATACTTACATATGACTGGGGGAGTGGCGCTATTTACATATAATTAAGCCACGACTCATTCTCCCCCAAAAATGTCCACGCGTCGCTAGCGTGTTTGTGTTTCGCTTGAAGAAAAGGTGGCAACCCTAGGTTACACCCGCAGGTTTTTCTTCTAAGATTCCACACCTTAGTATCGTATTAGATATAATATATAAACACAGCCTATAAAAGTAACTTTCTTCGCAATAATGTCAACTTAAACCAGTTGTACTGTGAATAACCCAGGTCATCACTAGCTTGTCTGTGTTTTAGTATTCAGCTGCCCCATTAGCATTAACTGCCCTCTTCTAGTGCTCACAGAACTGACATCCAGGCCAAAGTATAATGCTGAAGAACTTTTCTTAAACATATTTACACTATGGAGGGAGGGTATAGGGATCCTAGACATCCAGGGTAGAACAGATGTAGACTTCCAGACTCACCAGTCCAACGCCGTAATTCAGTGTAGATCCATTTGTAGCATAATGGAATATGTTTTTGAGCTGCAGATGAGCAGGGATGTACACTAATCTTCAGCAGGAGAGACCCCAGACTTGCTCCTGATGTCCCCTATGTTCCGGGCACCTCCAGCAGCCATCAGCTTCCTTGGTTCTCCTCCTCTGACAACAGCACAGGCCTCCTCCATACTTGAGGCCTACAGAAACACTTGTAGAGCCAAAGGAAATCTCACCGCTCCAATTCCTTAGCCACCATTAGGACTCCCTAGGTGCTGGTCTAATAGGTGCGTCTCCACCTTAGAATGCAGCAGTATACGAACAGACCTCACTATTCAGAGAATTCCAATACTGCAGACTTTATTGAAATTCACAGCAAATCCAGTATATCAGTGAATAAAAGTGTATATATGCACTTACCCAGCATGCAACACTGGTTGAGAGAGACCCAGTGATTGGCTGGTGAACTGCACACACACTCAGTGTCCCTCATTGGCTGTCCCACCCTGCAGCAGTCACACACCACTCAGGCAAGTACAATCAATGCCGAACACCTGGAATTAACCAGATAAATGCCAACTATAATTCAGGCAGACTGACTACAGCTCTGGCAATCACTACATTTCCAGTAGCCACCTCACAAAAGTTGAGGTGGCTACAAGAGGAATGTTCTCTTTCTGTATACTCCCGGGTATTGTGCTCACATATGCACTCAGATAAAAGGCCCAGCCTACTAAACTGTAAGACTTATTTCATTATCATTTTCACGTGAAAATTTTTCATTTACAGTCATAAATATTACATACATGTGTAAATTGTTTACACATGTTTTTCTCTTTAATGATATTTACACCAAAAAGCAAACATGTAATATATTGCAGCTTCGCAAACCTTAGATATGGTGGCTGCATTCATTATCTTTTTTTTTACTTTATTTTCACCTGGTGACCCGGCCAGTAAGTCTGGTCATTTCAATTCCCTTTAACAGACCAAGCTGACCATCAAACGTGGCAGATAGAGTGTTGAAACAAAGCATTTACTACTGACGGGTGCTTACAATGATCAGCTTTTATTTATTTATGTAAACAAGAAAAATGTTGCTTTAACCCCTTGCCGTCCTCCCATTACGGGTGGACGGCAGATTCTTCCCGGCAGGGTCACGTAAATGTATGTCCTTTTTGTTTTTGCTCGCGGGCGCGCGAGCAGAAACCCGCCGGGAAGGATAACAGCCGTTACCGGCAAAATTGCAAAAGTGGAAAGACATTTTTAAAGCGCTGAGAATCATATATTTGTTTTATATCCATATGCCAGAAGTACTCGCACTTATTTAAGTGTAATGTAAGCATAACACATCTTTTTATTTCCAGACTGTCAATGTAAACGTGGAATTTGTAATAATGGAATTAAAGGAGATGGAAGCTGTACCTGTGAAGCAGGCTATATGGGTTCTACATGTGAGCTAGGTAAGGCGGTCTTTACCATGCGTTGCACAGGCTCTGAAATATATAACCTATATTAGTTGTTGTTCTCTTGTTCACTTTTGTGCTCTGTCTCTTCTCAGAATCCTTATCCTGCAAAGCTCTGAACTGCGGAGTAAACGCACGCTGTGTACAGTCAGGCACAAACCTTAAATGTGACTGTATGCCAGTCTACAAGAAGCTGGACGGTGTCTGCAAACGTGAGTGCTTGGTACAAACAAACTGATGTCCACTGCTGTGTGCCTTGATTTCTTTTTTATGGATGGCTTTAAGTAGGATTGCCTGTGAATGACAGATATTTGTCCTGTTATTTGGCACCCCAATATACACATCTGTAGCATTGGGACAGGAAGTGAGGGGGTATATTGTGAACAGGGGCATCAGCAGCAATAACACCCAACAGAGATTGGAACACTTAAAAACGCCACAATTAAAAAAAATGTTTTGGCCGGAGTCAGGCTTTAAGATGCTAACACATTTCCCCCGCCACACCCCCAGCCTTTCCTTGCTGGGGATAAGCACTGTACTTGCAATCGGGCCCTACTTACAATCATGGCTACATTTATTAGTATAGGATAGGGGTAGGAAACCTCGGCACTCCAGCTTTGGTGAAACTACAAATCCCGTCATGCCTCTGCTTCTGGGGGTCCTTCTTGTGACTGTCGGTCTTGCAATGCCTCATAGAACTTGTAGTCTCACAACAGCTGGAGTGCCAAGGTTGCCCACAACTGATATAGGCAAACAGCATTGTGATGCAGGCAACTTTAGTCTCATGCTATCCATAGCGGAGTCCACCTGGGACAAAATTCTCACTTTCCCTTATTCCCATATTCTTCTGTGCTAAGTCGTAGTGTTCCTGAACTACCCAATCTGCCAAACTGGGTTGTCCTGTGTGGCAGAGATGTATAAATCTCAGGATTGGATTGACAGAAATACAAACCCTTTGGCAGGTAACACAACTTTCATATACAGGTATTTCTTCTGTGTATTCATCTGTTTGCCTTAGCAGCTAGCTCCACCTTTCTGACCATGCTTCATGTGCGGTGAGGTCACCACACTTGTAGTCCACTGATACTATTTCAATTTACCTTGGTATGGACTTGGGCAGGAGGAGGAGCTTGTAGGATTCAGAGCATTACACTCTCAATCCATTGATCGCGTTTGGAATGCTTTACTGGCTTCTATTCTAAAAAATGCTAATTGCCTGTTTTTTCTTTTATGAAGAGTTGTGCATTATAATTTTTTTGAAGGTGGAATTTCCCTTTAATGAAAAAACATACATCATTCTTAAAGTTTAAGTCCAGGCAAAACTTTTTTTTCGTTTTGTTTTGGATAGGATGTAGAGGCTTAGAGAGATTTCCGCTTACTCAGTGTGGCAGTGACGACAGTTTCACCAGACGGGAAGTGAGGAAAAGCCTGGAACAGGGATGCAGACAGCAATAAAAAAGATGACAGGAGTTTTAGCTTTCTACTACTCTACTAAAAAAAAGCATTTTTATTTCGGTTTGTGTTGCTTTTGTAGTTACCTTCACATCCTGTCTGGTGTGAAACCATTTTCCCCAGGAGAGAAGTGAGGGGAAATCTTTCTAAGGAAGCTCAGGATAGCAGTAAAAAACCCCATGGGGTTCTAATCCTCTCCTCGTCTAAAATAACGTTTTAAAGTGTTTCTAAAACCTCAGTTTTTTTGCATATATGTACTGCTAGCGAGCAGTAGATGAATGCAAAATGTTTTTTTTTTTAAAAACAAAAACAGCGGTTTAAACTTACCCCATCTCTGCCACGCGCTCCCGTCCGAGAATCCGAAACTGCTTGGGCGGCCACAAAGCATCTTGGGGTGGGCGCTAGCACGGTTTGGATTTTCAGCCGGGAGACTAGGAGAGACGCAAGGTAAGTCTATGGACGCGTGCACCTGCATGCAGACACCGTGGGATCGGAAGTGCCAGCAAGGACCAAGGAGGCAGCGCTGGATCGGAGACCCGCAGCAGCACTGGAGAGAAGGCTGAAAAGGACAGGAAAGAAGAAGATCGGATTAAGAGACATCATTTAAGGTAAGTGCTGACATTAACATTGGGGGGAGGGAAACATTTTTTGACTTTAATGTCACTTTAACTGGATATATACTTTAAAGTGGAACCAAACTCTCACAAAGGAAGACTTCATTTCATAGAGTAATATAAATGAATTGGGATCACGTTATTTTTTGTTAAAAGTTTTCCTCTTAATTTATTCATGTTTTTTCTTCCTGTGTTATGCACATCCTGTAGACCAGGGGTCACCATAGGTGTCGCTACAAGGGGGCAATTGCCCCCCTAGGTTATTT